ATAGATTTGCCACCGATGTTGATGCAACGTGAGAGGCTGCCGTTACAGACGCCTTCCATTAAAAACACAGTTTATTCTAATGCCAGTCAAACGTATCCCTGCGACGCTAAAAACGACAGTGTGGGCAAAAACTATAGCACAAATTGGAGGAAAACTCGGCTTTATTTGAAAACGAAAAATTCCAGGCAGCAAATCATCTTTAAATTAATATTTTAAGAATTTTACGTAAGAAAAAATTAGTTTTAAAATAAACGATAAAACCCTCATAAAACTGTGAAATATTTCAATTGTGAACTAGTTATTGAAATTATTTGCATATCCAATTCGAGTTACCTACATTTGCATGAAACTGTGGTGCTAAACGTCCGCCGTTTTCTATTAATTTGCCTGCTTTTTTCAATTGACTATTAGCCACTGTTGTCGGAAGTGAGCTCCATGTCTCTGATGCATGCCTACTTAACGGCGGTATATATTTCGTTGGCATTGTTACCATTGATAGGTTCTGGGATTGTTGCTTAATGTAAGACGTTTTCATGTAGTTGCTGATAGTTGGCCCGTAAGGCAGCGGAATCATAGAAGGATGTTGCATTTTGCCTGTACTCCGGTCAAAGGCATTCAAGCCGGGAATAAAAATATCACTAGGTGGGCACGATTCCGTCGGCTCGAAATTGGTTGCAATCAAATTTTGACCTATAACCTGTTGCGTCTGGCCTACTTTGTAATATTGTTCACGCATAAGGTGTTGTTGACGTGAAATATGTGACTCCAGCGCATATTGCTTTTGTAAGAGTTGCCGCTTTTGCTGCAGAAATCTGTGTTGCATCAGTTGTTGCTGCAGAGGCTGTCTCTGTATCGCCAATGGACTCACGTTGCAAAGCAAAGCCATGTCACCACGGGCTGCGCTAGTCATCGGCAAATTAGTTGAATCGAAACGCCCATTGCTTAGAAATGGTGGATTTAAATCAACACTTTCAAAACTGTGGTTTGGCCGTACTAGATGTGGAGTCCTCGGAGCATGTGGCGTTTGCATCATCTGGTGATGTAAATCTAATGACAGTCTATTTGGTATTGAGTAAAATTGACTACTTTGAAATTGATAATTGTTTCCATCGTCTAGAGGTACTTTATTGTTACGATACTTTGATTTAAGTGACACAACTTCCTTTTGCAGTTGCTGCAACTCCAGCCAACAGTCCTGTTTTCGGCTGTCGTAACGATAACTACCATAACCAACGGCAGAATTCAAAATTGTCATTGAATTTGCAAATCCTTGGGCAACAAGACCATCACTTGCCCGACGACCTTCCCTGCAGTACCAAAATAAATATGTATGTACAATAATTGTCAAAGTCTGATATCGGTTATGAGCCTTCAATTACCTAAAATTAATTGGTGACCTTTTATCAATGCAAGTCTCCGGAGAATTAGCACACAATGTCGAAGAATTGCTCGAAACGGGCAAGTGAAAGCATGAATTATTGCTTTTGTAGATGGAACGATCTGACATCTGATCAGATGTCGCTAAGGTGGTACTACTGGCGCACGAGGGTAGACTACTTGCCAAGTCAATGCTTGTCATGTTCAAATCGATGCCTTCTAAAATTGAGCAGTTGCTGTTTGATGAACCACGACTAAGGTTTTGGCTCAAGCTTTTCGAATAACTTCCTATTACTCCGCTTGATGAACTACTGCTAGCATAAGATTGTATTCGTTGAGTTAGATCAGAAGTAGATTGCGAACAGTCTAAAAAATATTACATCGAAAAACAAGATATTAATTAGACGCTAGAGAGTTAAATATACATACATATGTCGCACGTTGAATATTTAATATAGAGGAAAAATTTAAGTTTTTGGAGTTTTCATCATACAATTAATAAGCTTGATAAAGAGAATATGTTCAGTCAAACAGATACCTCAACTTCCCCAAAAATGGTGAAGATATCGCACACCTATCGTACATCTAAAGCGAGCTAACTAAAATTTCAGATCAGGAAATATAATTGCTTGTGAATCGTACATATTCAACTCATCTAATACCAAAACAGATATAACAGCAGGTTTTTAGTTAGTGTACATAATCGCGAAGAAAAAAATATTTGCATTTATTGGAGGTTGCTTTACATGGTTAAATTTTTTTGAATTTAAGTTTTTCGTTCTTTACATGGGAAACGACGAAAATGTCAAAAGCAAAGCAAGAACAGAGAACGTAAAGTGCAGAGAAGGACCGAAAACTGCGAATGTCACATTTTTCGAGCCAACTGAACAAGCGAAGCGCATTTTAAGAGCGACCAATATTTGGAAAAAATACAAAGCAGAAAAGAAGAATATTAACAGAGCTAAATCTCAGAGAGCGTTTGCAATGTCAATTAAATATGAATAAAATTTTCAAATAGAAAACCCAAAAGTGAGATTTTTTGCGAAAATAATTGTTTTATTAAAAAGTTTATTTTTTTTCGGCAATTTGTACAAGTAACATGGAATTAAATCGAAAATATTATACCAAATTTTCCGATTTTTGTGATATTTCATTAATGATTGCGAATAGAAAACTCCCAAAGTGTTTTTTTGTGAAAACATTTTTTGATAAAAAATCCTTTTTTCCGGTGATTTCTACAAACACCGTGAAAATAAATCGAAAATGTTGTATAGCATTTTTCGATTCGTTTCGACTTTTGTAATATTTTGTTAGATTTTCAAACTTTGTATGGAAAAACTTTATTGGTGTTAGATTTTTTTTGTAAATAGATTTTTTGAGAAAAAAAAATTTCTTTCAGGTGATTTGTACAAACAACGTTAAAATAAATCAAAAATATTAGATAACATTTTCCAATTTTGGTGATATTTAAAAAAAAAAAAAAAAAATTTATTGGTTTTGGATTTGCTAAACTAAGCCGAAACTATTTAAGCATTTTTCCAAATTTTCGATATTTATGGAAATAACTATGTTTTCAAAGTCTGTATGAATTTTTTCCATATTTTAGATATTTATTGAAATAATTCAGTTTTTAATTATTTTCGACTTGGAAACTTAAAAAAAAAAATACTAAAAATCTGAAACCGTCGGATTTTCCCAGCAATTAGTGAAGATCTCGCTAATCTAAGCCGAAACTATTTAAGAAATTTTTCAATATTTATGGAAATAATTCAGTTTTCAAATCTTTTCTAATAAAGTCGCGTAAGAAGTTGCCACTGGATGGGTGGCAGCTTCGCTACTCATGTGTATATTTGACCCCCACATTGTCATTTACATATATAATTTATTAATAACTAAACCTGAATTTATAAAGCACATATTTGTAAACTTCATTTCATTACCAATTTCTGCTACCAAATTTTTCATGCATCCAAAAAGACAACCAAATGAAAATGTAAGTATGTATGCATTTATAAATGTACATATGTACATACATATATGCGATTGATCTGCTTTTGTCTTCCCCTCGCCGCTTCCATCCCCACAAATTATTCAATTTCTGCGAATCGGCACCAGATTGGCACGTGCGCGAAACCATTAACCCTACATTCACGAAATATTTAGATTTTCGCATAACTTTGCATTTAATAAAGCAATACTTGTACATTTTGTGTGGAGAATAATAACAATTAATTTAAAATTCTGCATGTAACCATGTTCTCGACGATACATGTAACTTTCATGAAGATTAAACATAAAAATAGTGCGTTATTAAAAGCTGGAACCAAAAAAANCGATTGATCTGCTTTTGTCTTCCCCTCGCCGCTTCCATCCCCACAAATTATTCAATTTCTGCGAATNAATTTCTGCTACCAAATTTTTCATGCATCCAAAAAGACAACCAAATGAAAATGTAAGTATGTATGCATTTATAAATGTACATATGTACATACATATATGCGATTGATCTGCTTTTGTCTTCCCCTCGCCGCTTCCATCCCCACAAATTATTCAATTTCTGCGAATCGGCACCAGATTGGCACGTGCGCGAAACCATTAACCCTACATTCACGAAATATTTAGATTTTCGCATAACTTTGCATTTAATAAAGCAATACTTGTACATTTTGTGTGGAGAATAATAACAATTAATTTAAAATTCTGCATGTAACCATGTTCTCGACGATACATGTAACTTTCATGAAGATTAAACATAAAAATAGTGCGTTATTAAAAGCTGGAACCAAAAAAACTATGTCTGCTATAATGGGTTAAACGCAAACCTGAATTGACATTTTTACACGCGTACATGCATACATACATATTAGGGATGGTGCGAATGTGGAATTTTAGACATCCGCGGATGCGAATGCGGATGCGGATGTTTAAAAGCTAACATCCGCGGATGCGAATGCGAATGCGGATGTCAAATACAGTGAAAGTTCCCATATGCGGACACCGATGGTCACCTTTTTTGTCCGTCTATGAAAGATGTAAAATAAAATTAAAATTCATACTTAAAAAATTGAAATTGCGGGTTTCTAAGCTAAAATAATATTTATTCTTCAATAGACAGAAACAGGGTGAATTAAAAATGAATTAAAATTTATGGCGTTTTTCTCTCCTACCGACAAATCTCATTGCCCATTGGCAACGAAAAGGCAACTTTTTTTCTAGAAAAGAAAATATTTTTGAATATGGACTATGTTCTTGTGTACATATTCATATGTAGAAGCGCAAGAGTAAACATTTGACTGAAAAAGTAATTTTTAATATTTTTTTATTTAGTACTTAAATTAAAAATTGGAACATTGTATTTAAAAAAAAGAGTAATTTTGCTGCTTTTTCGGGTTACAGCCTGTTTCCTAACGGGAAAACATTGTTGCGAATGCGAATGTCAAAATTTATGCGGAAGTTCCGCGGTTGCGAATGCGAATGCGAATATTCGCAAATACATATACACATGTACAGTGGAGTAGCACTAGCTTGGACATCGCATTGGTTGTACTATAATAGGGGTATTCTCGAAGTCTTGCACGATGCACGGATTGCACGAAATGCAAAAATACTATTCCAAATTTCGAAGAGTACGAGAGCACCCACGATCCAGAAATAAAGGTCGCGCCATTCGCGGACTGCTAACTCTCTCTTCGTCGATTTGACAGCATCCACCCAATCGCTGACGTCATAAAATACTTTTGTTTACATTCACTGTTGCCAACTTGATGCTTTTCGCACCAAATTTAATGGGTATTCAAAACGCGAAAATTTTTGAGTTTGGTGCTTGGTGCGTTTTTGGTGCTTTTGTTTTTAGTCTGAGGGCACCAAATAAGAAAATCCTAAAAAATCTAAGCAAAATTTATAGCAATCGTAAATGTGGTAAGCAACTTTACAAAAATTTAAACAAAATCATGGCACAGTGACAATCATAAGCGACAACAAAATATGTGGCAGCACCTTCAATCATGCCAGAAGAAATCGACCGTCGTGCAAGAAACATTGATGTTTATTAATTTGAATTGGCATCCTTACAATAAAATCATGTATGCATATAAAGTCCATAAAATACACCAATAAAAATTTGGTGCTTTTTCAAATTCATAACTTGGCAATACTGCCTTTTGTTCGATGCTTCCTCTTTTTCTTGTCGAGTTCGTCTTGCTCTCTCATTCTGGTATTTTTGACGTCACGGCCAGTTGCTCTCAGCTCGATTGGCGCAATCTTGTATTCTATCATTCTTTAGTGTCTGCCGCTGATGGATGGGCGAACAGAAGGAAGTCTGAAGTATATACATACATCTCTATGTTCTCTACAAATCCGTATGCACTATTTAAATTTAAAGAAATAAAAAAAATTAAAAAGTTAAGTTATTGCGGTAATTTATGTCGCTATCAATAAATTCTTGCAATAATCTTATCAACCGTTATGTTAAACTACGGAGTTGTTACGATTTTTTCTGGGTTTTATATTGAAAACAGGGTTTGGTCTACTTTTTCCAAACTTTTAACCCATCAACTCCCACCAGAACGGGCGTTTTTGACTCACTGTTTTAAAAATGGCTTATAGTTAAAATTTCCACTAAAATATTAAGCGCCAAATTTTTCTAAGGAGAACCGAATATAGAGAAAAATAATAGTAATTTTACCAAAATGGGGGACTTTAACCCTGTGTAGAAGACATTGCGATGCGCGGGAGCAAAACCTTCCTGGGATTTGATCACCACTTAGGAATGCTAACGTAATTTTCACACAGCCACCTAGTACTTGTATTCGTCTGCGGGACCCCAGAATAAAATAACTTACTAATGTAAAAATTAGCAAAAAAAAGTGTTTGCTTTTTAATAAAAGTGTGTTTAAAATATTAAAAAAAAATACACAGAAAAATCAACTCGTCTTTGTTTTATCTCCAATAATTGAGGAGTTAGATGCAATAAGGGCGCTTCTGTTAAAACTGATTTCTGAGATATTGGCGTTAAAGTTTTTCATGTGTAACTTTCTTGTTGTTGTAGTATATAAAAAAGTAGTATTGAAAAAATTTCTCTACTGCGGAAAAAAATCGTCGATTACCAGTATAGTAGTAGTATATAAACGTGTTACCTATGTTTTTTCTGAGTTACGCTTTTTTGGAAATGCTCAGTGCCCCGAATTATGCAAAAAACTCCTTTAAAAAGGTAAATTTCATTTCGTAAAATAGTGTTTTTATACGAATAGTATTTAGTTCCTTTAAACGATGTATTTCAATGTGCATACATCATGAAAATTTTGTACAAAATTCCTTAGGCGCCGAACGCTGCCGCCGCCGCCGCCGCGCCGATATTTTCGTAACTC